CCTCCTCCTCCTCCTCCTCCTCCTCCTCCTCCTCCTCCTCGGCGTCGGACGCCCGGCCCCGCCCCGCCGCCCGGCCGCCCAAAAGGGGAAGAGGCTCGAGATCGGCCGCTGGCGCCCGGGGCCAGGCGGGTCTGGCCCTCCGCGCAGGCGCCGTCGGCCTCGCGGCGGCCGCGGGCGGGAGCGGCCGCTGCGGGTCCCCGAAGAGTGCGGCGATCGGCCGAGCGGCGACCTCGAAATCCCGAAGGGCCTCCCCGCACGGTGCGGCACCGCACCTTCATTCTGGGAACCTCCGAGACAGCCTCGGGAAACGACCCATGGTCCCAAAACCGTGCGGCCAACCCGAGTCCCCACTGACTCACCACACGGTGTGGTCACCGCGCCGTTTGGGGGGCCCCGGGGTCAGCATCGGATCGATAGATCCCCTGACATCCTCGCGTCGTGAAAAACATGTTCAAAAAGATAGCGGACTGCTCTGGGCTGCTTTCGGCATCTGGGGGCCTTGACCGCGTGCAAAGACTGAACAAATCTGCGGGGTCACACTGCGGTGGACAAAAAGCACAACGCCGGATGTCTGGGCCTGATCGAGTCGGAACGTGCATCGATACAGAAGGCTATTTCCTTCCAGTCACCCAATGGCTTCCCGACGTGAGACACAATACCACCAGACAAGCTGGGAATGTCATACGAGACTGCAGCGAGGGCACACGCGCGAAAGGAGGAAGGAGAAAGATCAGGGATGACAGCGGACGGCAAGCAAGAGACAGCAGCATCAGGAACGTCGGGCCGAATCGGGACGGAGCCAGAATCGCATCGGGTATACGGCCAGGACCTTCTGCTGAGCGTGTCGCGGCGGCGTGTGCGGCACGCGATGCCCTGCGAGCGGACAGCGTGTCGCTCTGGCCACGCGGGGCGGGAGGCTGGGAGAAGCCTGGGATGTTGACGCCTGGGGCCCAGGACGCGATTGGTGTATCGCGCCGACGCACGGCGGGCCAGAACCAGCGGCGCGACGTGCTAGGCAGACACCCCTGACTGTAATTCTAATCGGGTCGGACCATGCGTCACATGGGGCCGCATCGGGACGGGGTCGGAATCGAATCAGATCTGCAGAACAGAAGAACCACCCTCACAAAAAGTGCAGGCTCCCGAAACGAAGCCCATTTGGTAAGCGCACCTGGTGAAGGAATCGAGTAGGGAAGAACTGTTCATTCAGTCAACGCCCAGGGCTGTAGCAAACGCCCATAATGTGAGCGTTTCTTTATTCAGCGTTTCGACACTGGGCGGAAGGGGAAGGGGGAGGGGGGGGGTCTGGCTCCGGACCTCTGCATAGTGCGACTGTTTGGGACCGTGCGTCCTCTGGGGGAGACTCCCATGCTCGAAACTGGCGCCAAAAACAGCCAAGATCTACTCTTAAGTCGGGCCTGTCCCCCTACAGGGGGATTTTCTACGAAAAATAAGAGATACCCAACAAATAATCAAAATACAGTCCACACATAAGATGGGGACTCTTTTTTCAGCATTTGTTTTACCTTCTGGGGGCATTTTTCTGAGGACTCTCACTTTTCCTCGAAGATCCCCCTGCAGGGGGACAGGCCCGACGGGGGGGCAGGCAGGGGGCGCGAGGGCCCAACAGCCGACCGGCAAGCGCATGCACGAGAGAGCACGCGCACAGTCGGGGCCAGGGCGAGGCGCGGCCGCGCCGGGCTGCACGGCAGGCCCCCGCGCAGGCACGCGGGCCGCATCGGGCAGCCGGGCACGTGGCGAGGAGCACGGAACACCCGTTTCCTCCTCCTCCTCCTCCTCCTCCTCCTCCTCCTCCTCCTCCTCCTCCTCCTCCTCCTCCTCCTCCTCCTCCTCCTCCTCCTCCTCCTCCTCCTCCTCCTCCTCCTCCTCCCCCTCCTCCCCCTCCTCCCCCTCCTCCCCTCCTCCCCCTCCTCCCCCCCCCTCCTCCTCCTCCTCCTCCTCCTCCTCCTCCTCCTCCCTCTCCTCTCCTCCTCCTCTCCTCCTCCTCCTCCTCCTCCGTCCGCCTCTACTCCCTCCTCCTCCTCCTCCTCCTCCTCCTCCTTCCTCTCCTCCCTCCCGCCTCCTCCTCCTGCCTCTCCTCCTCCTCCTCCTCCTCCTCTCCTCCTCCTCATCCTCCTCCTCCTCCTCCTCTCCTCCTGCCTCCTCCTCCTCCTCCTCCTCCTCCTTCCTCCCCTCCTCCTCCTCCCCTCCTCCTCCTCCTCCGCCTCCTCCTCCTCCTCCTCCTCCTTTCACTCCTCCCTCCTCCTCCTCCTCCTCTCCTCCTCCTACTCCTCCTCCTCCTCCTCCTCCTCCTCCTCCTCCTCCCCCGGAGGGCCCGCGGACTGCTCGGCTCGGCGCTGGGCCCCCCTAACCCTGGCGCCGCGCGCGGCGCGCCGACCGCAGAAACACCCGCGCGGAGCTCCGAGGAGTCTGCGTGCTGTGCCGTGCTGATTCGGAGCGTCGGCATCGAGTCAGATGCCGAGCCGGATTGGGGGAACAAAAAGTCGCAGATTCCGGCAGATTCTGAGGTCCGCGCAGATTTCTCGGATCGGCGCTGGGGCCCCCCTGCGGCGCCTCCAGCGCCGCCCCTGGCGCGCTCCGCGCGCCAGGGAGGGGGGTCCAGCGCCGATCTGAGAAATCCGCGCGGACCTCCGAGTTTGCATGTTTATGTGACTTTTTGTTCCCCTACGGATGGGAACGATGCCGAATCGGATCGATCCTCTCAGTTTGGGCCCTGCAGCGGAGGGAAAGAGGAAGAGCGCCATGACAAAGACTGAACGCGGAAGCGTACCTGTCGATCTTGGTCATCATCCGTCTTGGTCATCATCAAGTCGTGGATCATCCTCGCAAATCGGCGACGGCCAGCATGGATCATGACCGAGATCGGCGTCGACAAGCAAGGCCCCGCGACATCTTGGTCATCCCGTCTCGGGACTTTGGGTCTTCATCCTGGTTTCGCCTCCTCGAAGACGACGGCAGGATGAGGACAAGTTCGGGTCGAGATGAACTCGGATTCGCCACGGCTAGGGCCGCATCGAAAAACGAGTCAGGATGGATCCCAGGAGGGGCCTGAGGACCGATTCTGAGCGGATTTGGGCCCAGCGGTTCCGAGGGCACCAAGTACGAGGACGGGGCACGCTCAAGGGCAAGTGAGCTACCGTGCCGGCGCGAAGCCGCAGCTGAAACCCCGTGGAGTGGGGCGTCATCGACCGCCGAGCAGAAACGACCTGGCGGATGCAGGGCGAGAGCAATAAGACGACGAAGCACACACACACACACACAGACACAGACACAGACACACACACACACACACACACACACACACGCGCGCGCGCACGCACGCACGCACGCACGCACGCACGCAAGCACGCACGCACGCACGCACGCACGCACGCACGCACGCACGCACGCATACACAAGCACGCGCGCTCACACACACACACACACACACTGTTGGCGCCCGCGGCTGGGCAGAGTCACTGCGCTGGCGATGGGGCGCAAGCGGGATGCACGGAGCGCGAATGAAGCCGCAGTGCGCGGAGGAGAAAGGAAGAAGCCCGGCGCGAGCAGGAGGGAGGGGGGAGCCGGGCCCGCTCCGAGCGGGGCCAGGCAGCGGCGGGGGGGCGCCAGGGGCGGGTCCAGCGGCGGCGAGGCGGCAGCTGGGGGGTAGGCGGGCGGGGCGGCCGCCAGAAGCAAGCGCCTAGAGGGGGAAAAGGCCTAGCAGGAGCTGGACGCACACACACACACACACAAAACAGAACAACAACAACAACAACAACAACAACAACAACAACAACAACAACAACAACAACAACAACAACGACAACGACAACGACAACGACAACGACAACGACAACGACAACGACAACGACAACAACAACAACAACAACAACAACAACAATCATTTTACCCGAACGCTCAGTGTTCTCACCCGTGCCAGGGTTTTCATGCGACGCGAGACAATACCCCCACTTCGTGGGGGGGCAGTTCAAGCTCTACCAAATATCCAAACGACTCTTCGCGACCACCCAAACCCAGCTTCCCGCCCTTTGACGTTGGGACACTTCACTTCGTGGCGTGCGGACGACCGTGGCTACTACACTGGCGTGGGGTACACACCCACAGAACTTGGTCACTTATTCGGGGCGCGCGTGTGCCAGCATCCTGCAATTGTGACATACAATACATGACACAGACAGACAGAGAGAGAGACAGAGAGCAGACAGAGAGAGAGACAGAGAGAGCGGAGTTGGTCACATTTTTGGGGCAAGTTCCTGAGATCGTCGTGTTTTTTGTTGGTCTTGCGCGCGCGAATGTCCACTTTACTTTTTTTTGGCAAGGGAGTATTGAAATTTGAGTATGTTAGAACAAGAAAAAGTAGCTCGCGCGAGCTCATGTAACATAAATGTTGAAAAACCATTGGTTTTGTGGGAGTCGGACAGCGCGCGCGGGATGAAATTTGGACATTTTTGTTTGAAAAACCATTGGGTTTTTGATGTTTTTATGTTTAAATCGTTACGAAACCTAAGGTTCTGGAAGGATTTGGATTCGTCTTGCGCGCGCGAATGTCCACTTTACCTTATTTTTTGCAAGGGATTATTGAAATTTGATTATGGTTAGAACAAGAAAAGTAGCTCGCGCGAAGCTCATGTTAACATAACTGTTTGAAAAAGCCATTGGGTTTTGTTCGATTCGGAACAGCAGGCGCGTCCGCCGACATTTGACAAATTTTTCTTTAAAAAGAAAACCAGTGGGTTTTGAAGTGTTTTTATGTAAAATCGTTACGAAAACTTAAGGTTTGGAAAGGATTTCGTGCTTGCGCGCACGAATGTCCCACTTTACCTTATTTTTTGCAAGGGATTTTTCTTGCAATTTGATCAAGTAAGAACAAGAATTTTCATTTTATAGTGTTTTTTGCAAGGGAAAACGGATTACAACAAAACAACCGGATCCGGACACAATACACTTTTCTGAAGCTTTCGCTAGAAAATGAAGGAAATGAGGCTGCGGCCTAGGTTTTGGAGGGGGGTCGCGCACCAGGGGTCTCAACAATAATATTTCTTTAGAAGTAATAATATTCAACAACAACAACAACAACAACAACAATTACTAGCACGTGGGGACACTCCGTTCTCACCAGTGCCAGGGTTTTCATAGGAGGCGGGAAATACCCCCACTTGGTGGGGGGGCCGGTTCAAGCTCTACCAAATTTCCAAACGACTCTTCGCCACCACCCACACCCAGCTTCCCGCCCTATGACGTTCGGACACTTCACTTCGTGGCATGCGGACGACCGTGGCTACTATTCAGGGCCCCGCGGCCGACGACGACGGCGTGCGCGCGCGAAGAAAAAAACGAATTTGTCCCGCATGGTATTATTTGACAGGGATGATGGCCCTGGCAGGTGCGCAACCGTTGTCGCAGAAGTTCGAAAAAGTTGCTCGCAAAAGACCGTTTGACAGAAATGTTTAAAAAATGTTGGGTTTCCTACGAATCCGCAAGAGCGCGCGAGCGCGGGATGAACTTTCGAACAATTTTTTTTTTTTTTTTGGTTTTGAAAAAAACTATTGTGTTGTTTTTGATGCTTTATGTAAAATCGCTCCGAACACTAAGCTTTTGGAAGGATTCGTCTTGCGCGCGCGAATGTCCACTTTACCTTATTTTTTGCAAGGGATTCTTGAAATTTGATTATATTAGAACAAGAAATGTCATTTTATAGTGTTTTTTGCAAGGGAAAACGGATTACAACAAAACAACCGGATCTTGATGACATCGTTTACCTGAGGCTTCCTCACGAAAATGATGAAAATGTAGGCTGCGGCCTAGGCGCGGCGGGGGGCCGCGCACCAGGGGTCCCAACAATAATTTATTTAGAATAAATAATGTTCAACAACAACAACAACAACAACAACAACAACAACAACAACAACAACAACAACAACAACAACAACAACAACAACAGCAACAGCAACAACAACAACAAACACTTGTCTCACTTTTGGGGCGTCGCGGCCACGTGCGCGGCGACGCGGCGTAAAAAGACTGGGCGAAGGAAAACGCGGCCAGCCGGCCCAGACACGTCTTGTGTTTTAAAGCCGGCGGCGCAGAGGGTCCTCAAGCGCGGGCAGCAAATTGAAGCGCTGATTGCGATCGAGCATTGACGTAGGCACCCAGTGTGACACTGGGACGACACGTCGTGACATATCCCTCCTGCTCCATGTTATATTCCTCCGCCTCCTGCCGTGTAACAACCCCCCGTCCACCACCTCATCATCCTTCTCTCCTTCACCACCTCCGCCTACCGCCCCTCCCTCTTTTCCGGGGAGACGTGAGACTTGGGTTTGTGAGACTCGAGTCGGCCTGATGGAGCCGTCAGAAAAATGACGTGACGAAGTCTGAAATCTGACGCGGGCTCTCGCTGCAAGCATCGCACGAACACCGGACCGAAACCAAGGTCCGGCAGGCTCGAGTCTAGCGTGTCCCCCATGACTGCCTTGTACCCACAGCATGATGCCAGACAGGGTGGCGGGCGGCTCACGCTGAGCGAATAGGAGGGTTCCCGAGCTGCTTGAAGGGAGCCGGGCGGCGGCATCAGAGGCCGCCTCCTTGATCTCGGCCTCCAGCTGCGCGACCCGCTCCTCCCGGCTGCAGGTCGCTCGAGGAGGAGGAGGGGGAGGAGGAGGAGGAGGAGGAGGAGGAGGAGGAGGAGGAGGAGGAGGAGGAGGAGGAGGAGGAGGGGGAGGAGGAGGAGGAGGAGGAGGAGGAGGAGGGGGGAGGAGGGGGGAGGAGGAGGAGGAGGAGGAGGAGGAGGAGGAGGAGGAGGAGGAGGAGGAGGAGGAGGAGGAGGAGGAGGAGGAGGAGAAGGAGGAGGACCAGCTGACGAAGCGAGCTCTGCACCGCATGGACGGGCCTAAGCTGGATCGAAACACGAAGCCGGATCGGACCAGAAGCGGACCGGATCGCCAACGACCCGTCCTGGATCGCATCGAGGTCGGCTCGCCCTGCCCGGCTCTGCCTAGCCCTGGCCGATGCTGGTGAATCGGGCCGAGTCGAATCGAATCGGGACCGCGGCCCCAGCCGGTGAATCGAATCGCATGGAATCGACTCGTAGGCGGCCCTGAAAGGCGGACCATCAAGACTGCAAGCATGCTGCCACGGCCACGTCGCCCTCTCAGCCGCTACCTCACCACAGAGCATCCGAACTCTGGATGCCTGCTTCCACCTCCCCTCCGCCTCGGGCCTGGCAGTGAGATTTCGAGGTGAACGCGACCGCTCCCGCCCACCACCCCGGCCACCCTCCCCAGACATCCGAGGCCGTGACGTTTCACAGCGCGAGCCCCCCACAGGTCTCAATCCCTTTTCTCCAGCGCCAGCTCGTCATCCTGAGTCGTTGCTCGGCGGCCCTGGGGCTGGGAAACGGCCCCCAGACGTCGAAAACGCCGAAAACCTGGCCGTCGCTGTGTCTGGGCGCGGCATCCGACGGCAAGGCTGGGTGAGGACCCCGCGGGGCTCGAGAACGCCAGAAAACTGGCCGGCCAGGCTCGCCTGTTGACTGCGAGGAGGGGGTCTGCTCCTGCCTCCACTGACTACCTACCAGACCACCCCAACCCAACCCGAAGACCCCAATTTCGGGTTGGGGGGGGGTACGGGTTCCATATGTGTTTTTGTCAGTGTTCCCCAACCCCCCCCCAACTGGAAATGGAGGGCAAATTGAGGCCTTCGGGCTGGGTTGGGTTGGGTTCGGGGTGGTTCGCCTGTTGACTGCGAGGAGGGGCCGCCGGGAGGAGGAGGAGGAGGAGGAGGAGGAGGAGGAGGAGGAGGAGGAGGGAGGAGGAGGAGGAGGAGGAGGAGGGGGAGGGGGGGAGGAGGAGGGGGGAGGGGGGAGGAGGGGGAGGAGGAGGAGGAGGAGGAGGAGGAGGAGGAGGAGGAGGAGGAGGAGGAGGAGGAGGAGGAGGAGGAGGAGGAGGAGGAGCAGGAGGACGGGGTCTGCTCCTGCCTCCACCTCCCAGGCCAGCTGCCGAGCCCTCACAGAGGGGGGCGCCCCTCGGGAAGCTGCTGCTGCTGCGGGCGACACGCCGCCCGCCGGCGGGCGGTCGTGCTGCAGCGCGAGCTCGCGACTGCACCCGGCGGCGGGCCCGAATTTCTCGACGACCGCACTGCTCGGAGGGGCGAGGGCGGGCAACAGAAGGGGGCTTGGGCGACCCTCCGGGCCTCCTCCTCCTCCTCCTCCTCCCTCCTCCTCCTCCTCCTCCTCCCTCCTCCTCCTTCCCCTCCTCCTCCTCCTCCTCCTCCTCCTCCTTCCTCCGCTCCTCCTCCTTCCAGGAACGAACCCTGGGTCCAAACATGTGACCATCTCTTGTGGGCGCACTGCTACTCTCGACCAGCCTCGGCCGGCCTCCCGCCGGCCCCTGCCAGCGGAGGCGGCCTCGTTTCACGTCCGCCGCCCTCCGCTGGCCTTCCGCCGCCTTTCGCCCAGGAAGAGATGGCAACCCCTTCGATTCTCGAAGGTGAGGCCATGTCAGGAGCGCCCCATATCTGGCCGAAGTCGGCGCGTTCCCCCGAAACGCCGCCCACGGCATCCCCACATGAGGAACGTCGAGCGACAGTTCGGCCAGCCAGCGCCCAGGTGCAAGGCAGAGGCTGCTCGAACGCAAGCTGACGGCATCCCGCTCGCGGACCTGGACGCTCGGGGCAGCAACGAGCGCCCATCGACAGAGGTCCGCGAAGGCCGCGAGGGGTGCGTGCCGCAGGAGCTGCGGTCGAATCACCGCCACTGCAAGGGAGAACTAGGATGGGGGGAGGAGCGAGCCCCCAGACACGAGGCGGGCCCCCGTGCGAATCTGCTCGTTCGGCAGCGTTTTGCACGACCCGCGTGAGTTTATTCGGCTCAACTGGCGAAGACGGAATTCATCGATTACCCGTCGGCCATCACCAACTGCCTAGCTTGCGGCTCCGACACCTCGCCACAACTAGATTGCAGCACTCGCAGTTGAATCAGTGTTCGACCAAGAACTGTGAACAAGTAGCCAACATGGGAGCAAGGCTGCACGGCCTGCTCAAGCAAGCTCCTGGCACTCGCGAACCACTCAGCGTGACTGCTTTCTGCTTTGCTGGTCTGAGGCAGTGGTATGAGGCAGTTAGCCTCTGAAATAGCAATGCATTCTACACCTCGTGCAACCACGGTCAACGAATCACGCCCCGGTGTCCTGAACCATCTTGTGCAATGATGGCGTCGCGATCCAGGAGAGCACTAGACACCAATCCTTGTGCGCAGCCATGTTCGAGAGTGCGAATCAACGTGCTGCGCGAGCGCAGAGGGCTGATTCCTATCAAACTCGCACCCCCCAAGCATAGCAAGAGATCATTCATAAGCCGAAACTTCCGGATGTCCGCGCGGACCTCCGACAATGCCTTGTGCCTTTTCCTCTCTCACTTGGTATCACAAATGACCCGACTGGACACAGAACGGTGCTCCTACATGTGAACCCGACCCATCTGACTGCTCGCGGCCATCCATATGGCCGACTTCAGACCCTGGATCATCCCAAAGTGTTGACGTCTCACTGTTTTGGGGGCGACGATGGGGGCGATTATCCCAGGGGAGAGCAATACATGTATCCGGGGACGCCGATGGCCAATGCCTTCGGCGAGACTCCCAGGCGATTGGGTGGAATGCCCGCCCCCATCGTCGCGACCGGCTTTTACTTTCGTCGCCGACCACAGGCCTTCCGCCATCCTCCCGGCGGCGCAGCCGCCGCCGGTTTACTTCAACAGACTTGAACCCGTTCGTTTATTCGGGCCGATCACGCGCATGATCGGGGGGGGAGGTTCCGTCGCGCCGATCACGTCACGGCGGGGGTGCGCTTACGGTGTTGCAACATGCCCGCAAGCACCGCAATGCGCCTGCGAAAAACAATCGCCTGCGACCCGACAATCACGACGTGCCTGTGACCAGCGCCACGAAAGCGTGCGATCCGATCAACGCGACGTGCCTGTGAAAACCACAACGCTTTTGAAGAGCACAGCATCCGTGAACACCACAGCGCCTGTGAACATGAAAGCACCTGTGAACACAGCGCCTGCGAACACCACAACACCTGTAAATACACATCGCCTGCGCACACTACACAGCCTGAAAAAAAAGCAGCGTTTGTGAACACTTCAATGCCTGTGAACACAGCGCGCGCGAGCACCGCAGAGCCTGGGGTCCGGCGGCAGTGCGCAAGCACTGACAGTAGCAGTAGCAGTAGTCGTAGTAGTAGTCGTAGTCGTAGTCGTAGTAGTAGCAGTAGCAGTAGTAGTAGTAGTAGTAGTAGTAGTTGTTGTTGTTGTTGTAGTCTTAGTAGTGGTAGTAGTAGTAGTCGTAGTAGTAGTAGTAGTAGTAGTAGTAGTAGTAGTAGTGGTAGTAGTCGTCGTCGTCGTAGTAGTAGTAGTCGTAGTAGTAGTAGTAGTAGTAGTAGTAGTAGTAGAAGTAGTACTACTACTATTGCTACTACTACTACTACTACTACTACTACTACTACTACCACTACTAGTAGCAGTAGTAGTAGTAGTAGAAGAAGTAGTAGTAGTGGTAGTAGTAGTAGTAGTAGCAGTAGTAGTAGTAGTAATAATAGCAGAAGTAGTAGTAGTAGTAGAAGAAGAAGTAATAGTGGTAGTAGTCGTCCGAGCAGTAGTAGTAGTACTAGAAATAATAGTGGCAATAGTAGTAGTAGTAGTCGCACTAGTAGTAGAAGTAGTAGGAATAATAATAGTAGTCGCAGTAGTAGTTGTAGTTGTAGTAGTAGTAGTAGTAGTAGTAGTAGTAGTAGTAGTAGTAGTAGTAGTAGTAAAGGTAATAGATGCACTAGTAATATTACATGTTTTTAGTAGTTGTAGTAGAACTACTACTACTAAAAAATGAACTGAAAGGAGTAGTAGTAGTAACAATAGTGGTGATGATAATAATACGAGTAGTAGTAGTCGTAGTAGTAGTACTACTACTACTACTACTACTACTACTACTACTACTAGTAGTAGGAATAATAACACAAGTCGTAGTAGTAATAGTAGTAGTAGTAGTAGTAGTAGTAGTAGTGGTCTTAGTAGTAATGGAACCGGTGGTAGTACGAGTAGTAGTAATAGTAATCGTACTAGTACTTGTGATAGTAGTAGTCGTAGTAGTCCTACTACTACTACTACTACTAGTGATAGTACGAGTACTTGTGATAGTAGTAGTAGTACTACTACTACTACTACTACTACTACTACTAGAATTGGTAGTAGTAGTCGTAGTAGTAGTAGTAGTAGAGTAGTAGTAGTACTAGTAGTAGTAGTAGTACTAGTAGTAGTCGTAGGAGTAAAAGTAATCGTAGTTGGAGTAGTCGTAGAAGTATGAATAATCATAGTCCTAGTACTAGTAGTAGGACTAGTAGTAGTAGTAAGGTCGTAGTGAAAGATTGGTACGAGTAGTAGTAGTAGTAGTAGTAGTAGTAGTAGCAGTGGTGGTGGCAATAATACTCGTAGTAAAAGTAGTAGTAGTAGTAGTAGTAGTAGTAGTAGTAGTAGTAGTAGTAGTAGTACTAGTAGTAGTAGTAGTAGTAGTAGTAATAATAGTAGTAGTAGTAGTAGTAGTAGTCGTAATACAGTGATAGTAGTAGTAGTAGTAGTAGTAGTAGTAGTAGTAGTAGTAGTAGTAGTAGTAGTAGAAGAAGCAATAGTTGTAATAGTGGTAGTATTACTAGTGGTAGGTGTAGTAGTAGTAGTAGCAGTAGTAGTAGCAGCAACAGCAGCAGCAGTAGTAGTAGTAGTAATAATAGTAGTAGTAGTAATAATCTTTCAAGTAGCAATGGTAGCAGCAACAGTAGCAACAATTATAGGCAATTGCCTGAACCACATAGTCGGCGAGGCGCAGCTGCTGAGAAGCATCCCGAGGCGAGAGAAACCTGCAAGAGCCGGCAAAAAAAACCGGAAGCCAGCAGACCATTGCCCTCGGCTTGACGTTGCACCCTCACTCTGTCCTGGTAATGTTTGGGCGATTAAGAACGGGAGAAGGTCCTCATCCTCCTCCTCGTCCTCCTCGTCGTCGTCATCGTTGTCCCCCTCCTCCTTCGCCTCTTCCTCCTCCTCCCCATCCTCCTCGTCCTGCATTTGAGCCCGCAGTGCCTGCGCGCGCCACAGTGACTATGAACACCGCAACGTCCATATACTAAACAACGCCCGTGTGCGCATTCAGTGCCCGTATACACCACTCAGCGCCTGCAACTGCGAGCGCCGCGCTCCGACCGCCGCGCCAATGCCTCTCCGTAACAAAACGACACTGCGTCCCTGAGAGCACTACGCGCTACGCACGCAAGCGCAACTTTACCTCGCGAGCGCCTCAGCGTCCCTGCGAGCACAACAACATGCCTCTGAACACTACAGTAGCCTGCGAGCGCCACAGGACGTCCGCGGTCGCCACCGGACGACCGCCGTGACGTGACTACAGGGGGGGAGGGGGGGGGCGGGGCCGATCACGCGCGTGATCGTCGGGTTTTTTTCCGAACGGGCTCCTTCCGTCAGCCTCCGCCGAAGGCGAGGCCGTTTCCAGAAAGCCCCATATGAAGCAGCACGCACCGTCCGCACCGGAACGCACAGACCACAAAACAAAGTCTCTAAAGCTTCCGCTGGGCTTCCGCCGGCGAAGCCGCCGATGCTGTCCCGCCGCTGGCCTTCAGGTGGACTCCGCCGGGGACGAGATGAAAACTGTTCGATTCCTCGAAGACGGGGATATTAACCCCAACCTTCCTCGCCGTTCAAGTTGTCACGACGTGGGCCCCTGGTGGTCTTGACCCATCCCCTGGATTGTTTTCGTCGCGAGTAGTTTTTGATAGCCCCAGAAGACGAGATCTGGAAAAACAAACATCCGTCGTCATTTATTCACGATGCCTGGCAGATAGGAATGTGGCCCGAAGCACGATGTTTGCAGAACTGCTGGTGCAGACAAACGGGGCTGACCCAAAGATCGACATTTAATAAGCTCTAAAACGTCGGCTTCGTAAGGCAAGCCTATAAGAAATCGCGGGCCCCGCACACGCCGCCTGCAAAGCTCGCAGCGTCTTCTGCTTCTCGCGCTCCTCAGCCTGCAGGGCTCTTTCAAGCTCTGAACTTGCTGAGGATAACTCGGGTGATCACTGCGCGAGCATTCCATGCCACATAGGGGAGAAATGACATGTTTGCGCCAAGCTCTGAATATGATGATTGCCTGAATGCCCTTTATCGCGGCGGTCGGAAAGATGAGGCGAGCCAGGCTGGCTGGTCGCTGCTACAGACCTAGCTGCCCAGAGCTGGAGCATGAAAGAGACTGTCCACCCTAGCGAGGGATTGCTTCCTGCTTCCTGACATCGCCCATGCGCACACACACACACACACACATCACAAGATAGGGCTGTCGGGTACGCGAAACCACGGCTGTGCCGGCATGCAGGCCTCCAGGGACCTCTGGAGAGATTCAGAGACCACGAGAGGACAAGGAATTGAAGCATGCGTGCGCAAATCCAACCATCCCTGTGTGCGTGAGTGGTTTAGAGCGTTTCCCCTTCCAAACCCCATTCTTCGCCTTCGGGGAGGGGTTCTTACTGTTCCCTACTGATAGACAACCTCTCCCCCAGGCGACCGGCAGCCAACCCAGACCAAGGAAACAATCCCCTGCAAAAACAATACGACATGCAATTTGCCTCCAATTCTGGAGCATGAGCAGGCGCCCTGCGACCACTTTGCATTGGTTTCTGACAGGGACGGCGGGGGAGGCGCATTCTGTTTGCTGCGTGTATGCCAACTATCCCTGTCAACAAACAATACAACATACACGTTGGTTCCAAATCTGGAGCATGCGCAGGGCCATATTTTTCTTAGTTCTCATAAATTTCACGACTCCTCAAGATATCACAAGTTGTATTGTCACTGGGTGCCTGTGCTTTGCGCTCCCTGGTGGAGCCACCCTTCTCACAGAATGGTCGGCACTTCGCTTCAGAGGGATTCAAGATCCTGAGCTCCTTCGGGCCAGGACCCTGGGCACCTGGGGTCCCTACTGATTCGCCATAGCTGGCACACCTGGCGCGGCTGGAGCACGTGGAACAGTTGACGCACGTGGAGCATGTGCCGCACCTGGCACGCTAGGGCCTCCTGGGTGCCTGGTGTACCTGGAACCCGTGGCATGCATGGCATGCGTGGTGTTCTTCGGCGATCTGCTGACACTCGGGTGTTATGGACAAAAAGTCTCATGGAGTCGATGCCTACAAGAAACGCCGAACATTTCCCAAAACGAACCGAACGCCCGCGCTCTCCGCAATCCGGACGTGCGCCCCGCGAAGCGAGAGGAATCTTTGAGGGTCCTAAGGAGCCCTCAAGCTTCAGTGGGTCCCTGGGGCCAACCGGAAGATTAGATGTTTCCGTGTGGTACCTGCTGACAGGCCGACTTCTTGTCTTATGCGCCTACTGAACCCAATCGCCGCAGCAGCAGCAAGCACCGGGCGAGGCGATATATGCGCCCCCTACCTGCACCGCATCCACAAGGAAGGGCACAGCTGCCACGCTCTCAAGGCCGGCATCGGGTGCCCCACACCGAGAGCTGCGAGACCGCCGCCGCCTTTACCATCGTTCCCTGGCCTTCTCCCTCTCATTCCATCCCTGCCCTCCCCTCCCCAGGGGAAAGTTAGGGAGGGATCAGCTCAGGGGGGGAACATCGAGCCTGAATCAGCGATACATCGCCGATAGATCGGCGATAGGCCCCCGATCGCGAATCCGCACGCTGTTTGGCGGGGCGGGCTATCGGGCACCTCCTACCTGCGATGAGTCGGCGATTGGGGGTCGATGCATCCCCCCCCCCCACTGAGCCTATCCCCCCCTAACGCTGCCCCTAACCTCCCCGTCCCCTCACCCTGCCCCCCATGCCAGCCCTGAGAGGCAATGCAGGAGCGGACGGCAGGTCGGTCGACAGAAGACGCGGTGCGAGGGCCTTTGCTTTGGCGCCGTGGCCGTCGCCGAAGATCCTGCGCTCGACGTCGAACTGCAGCTGCTCGCGAGACTCGGCGCCGGCGCTGTCGCCGAAGATCGCCGATTCTACGTCCAACCGCAGCTGGTCCATCCGCTCCTGCCTTGGATGACATCGGCCAGGTGCGGTGCGCTCCATGGGTACCCTGACACACACGCACAGAGCGAGTGCGCACCAGACATCACCTCTTCAGATCGTTGAAGTGGGCATGCGAGCCCAGAGCACGCCAGCACGCCGCACTTCGCGATAGTGGGCACTGGCACTTTGCCCTACATCATGACACCAAGACGTTCACACTACCGTTGCACTGAACGAAGAGCGCAACATTGTACCGTCACGCGCGTGAGTTGCACCGCTCTGGCGAGAGAGATCCCGTGAACAAGCAGAAGCCACAAGAGGGACGGACGGGAGACCACAACTTGAAATCGAAAGCTCTGAGCACGCGCCGCTCGTGGAGGATAGAGCCTCGGCAATCTAGGCGGGGCCGCCGTTTCTTATGAAACTTGATCGGTTTCCTGGCAAGGGCCGCTCCAGGAACCTTGAAATTTGTAGCTGGTTGGGCGGGGCCACTCTGTGACACTCGCACGTCCGACTCTTAGACAACTCCGCGCACGTCGAGAACGATGCCAAGCCACAATGTCGAGCGGCGGAAAGAAAGCACCAAGAGAGGGAATGTCTCCTCATCCTACAGGCAAGGGCCCGACTCGAGAGCTTGTCGATGTGAGCATGTGCCACGTGCCACCCTCACGCTGAATCTATGAAACCACGGGTCGACGACGAATTCCTCGGCGGAATTACGCAGGAGCTTACAGGTGTGCACCCCAACTTATCGAAACTCAGAGTGTGCGAACACGAGCCAGTATACATCCTACCCCATCCTTGCTGTCAAACCTCCTCCTCCTCCTCTTCCTTTTCCTCCTCCTTCTCCTCCTCCTCCTCCTCCTCCTCCTCCTCCTCCCCCTCCCTCTCCCGCACCCCCTTCTCCTGTGAAGGAAGACGACGACGACCGCGACGACGACGACGACAAGGGGAGGAAGAAGGAGGGAGGAGGGAGGAGAACAAGACGGACGAGGGAGGAGGAGGAGGAGGAGGACAAGAAGGAGGAGAGGAGGGAGGACGAGGAGAAGAAGGAGAAGGACGAGGGTGGAGGATGGACGAGGAGGAGGAGGAGGGAGGAAGGAGAAGGAGGAGGAGGAAGGAGGAGGATGAGGACGGAAGAGAGGAGGAATAAGGAAGGCTCTGGATTCTGGATAAGGCGCGCCACGAATTCGGCGCGTCCCACGGAAGAGAAAACAAGAGAAAACAACAACAACAACAACAACAACAACAACAACAACAACCACAACAACAACAACAACAACAACAACAACAACAACAACAACAACAACAATTACTAGCACGTGGGGACACTCCGTTCTCACCAGTGCCAGGGTTTTCATAGGAGGCGGGCAATACCCCCACTTTGTGGGGGGGCCGGTTCAAGCTCTACCAAATTTCCAAACGACTCTTCGCCACCACCCACACCCAGCTTCCCGCCCTATGACGTTCGGACACTTCACTTCGTGGCATGCGGACGACCGTGGCTACTATTCAGGGCCCCGCGGCCGACGACGACGGCGTGCGCGCGCGAAGAAAAAACGAATGTGTCCCGCATGGTATTATTTGACAGGGATGATGGCCCTGGCAGGTGCGCAACCGTTGTTGCAGAAGTTCGAAAAAGTTGCTCGCAAAAGCCCGTTTGACAGAAATGTTTAAAAAGTGTTGGGTTTCCTACGAATCCGCAAGAGCGCGCGGGATGGGATGAAATTTTGACATTTTAAAAAAAAAAAAATGGTTTTTTGATGTTTTTATGTTAAAATCGTTACGAACACTAAGGTTTTGGAAGGATTTCGTCTTGCGCGCGCGAATGTCCACTTTACCTTATTTTTTGCAATGGATTCTTGAAATGTGGTTATGTTAGAACAAGAAATGTCATTTTATATTGTTTTTTGCAAGGGAAAGCGGGGGGAAACAAAACAACCGGATCCGGACCAACCCGTTTTGCCTGAGACTTCCTCACGAAAATGATGAAAATGCGGCTGCGGCCTAGGCGCGGCGAGGGGGCC